ACAATGCAATAATACAATAATAAACAACTGTTTCAGGTACTCACAACTGTAAACTTCCTTTTGCCCCACTCTGTATTATAAAATAAACTACTGATATATTAGACATCAGAATTGAAAACTCCACAGAACTCAGTGTTGGTAAGCATGTGGAACAACTGGAACTTGTATACCTAGCTAATGGAATATAAAATGTTATAACTATTTTGGAAAACAGTTTGGCAGCGTCTTATAAAGTTAAATATATGCTAATCAGTCAACTCAGAAATTTCATTTTAAGATGTTTATCTGAAAGAAATGAAAAAATATTTTTACAAAAAACTTCGTAGAGGAATGTTCATAGCACCCTTGTTGTTAATGGCCCCAAACCAGTAACGTCCAAATTTCCATCAACAGATGAATAGATAAGCAAACTAGTACATTTATGTAATGGAATACTAAGCAATAAACAGAATGAACTGCTGATACACTCAGCATGGACAAAGGTCAGACATGCTGAGCGAAAGAAGCCAGGGACAAAAGAGTACATAATGTATGCTTCCATGAATTTGCAATGAAATTCTAGATCAGGCAGAACAGAAGTCATCCATAGTGTGACACAAAGCAAATTAGCATCTGCCCAGGGATGGCATGGGGTAGGGACTGATTGGGACTGGGTATGAGGGAAGGCTTTGGGATGACAGAAATGTTCTTAAATTTGGTTTTAGTGCTAGTTATATAGATATATGTGTTTGTCAGTAACTCATGAAACTACTCTTATAATGAGTATGTTTTATTGTATATAAATTATATTTCAGTAAAGTTGATTTTTGACACTTTTAAGTGAAGATACAATTATAAGCCAGGTACTTTATATTATCTCATTTAACCCTTACAATTATTTATTCATTCGAGAATATTCAGCATAAACTTTTTGAGGTTCTACATACCAGCTTTCTGTGCCAGGTACTGCAGATACAGTTGTGAGCAAAATCTATCAGTGTTTCCACTTACCCTAATGGGCAGTTTATTTGAAAGAGAGACATTAATAAACAGTGCCCCTCGGGAAGGTGCTATGAGAGCATATAAAACATTTATCTTTAGCATATATGTTCTTGTGACATATGACATGAATACATATTATGTGGTCTGTGCCTTGGTTTCTTCATTTGCAACTACTACCCATCTGATAGGGTTGTTTTAAAGATACTAAGTGACTTAATACCTGTAAAGTGTTTTGACTGGTGCTAGTAGTCAGCAAGTTCCCAGGAAGTATTGGCTGCTTTTTTGATGACATTTGACAGTTCTAGTTGTCGCCTGGACTGACTCAGGAAACACTGGAGTAGGACCAGGTTTGGGGGACGAGATTATGAGTTTAATGAGAAATGTTGGGTTTTAGGTGCTTTTGAGACACCCCAGTGAAGGTATCCTGTAAGCAGTTCTGGGGACTTGCTAGGTACAGCTCTAGAAGCAGTGGAGGGGCCTGGGCTGGAGATATAAATTTGGGAGAGTGTTCAGTATCTAGACCAGCGGTTCTCAACCTGTGGGTCGCAACCCCTTTGGGGGTCGAACAACCCTTTCACAGGGGTCGCCTGGCTAAGACCATCGGAAAACACATATATAATTACATATTGTTTTTGTGATTAATCACTATGCTTTAATTATGTTCAATTTGTAACAATGAAATTGGGGGTGACCACAACATGAGGAACTGTATTAAAGGGTCGCGGCATTAGGAAGGTTGAGAACCACTAATCTAGACTGAAATTTCCTTTGATTGTAGAGAGAAAAACTACGTACACATCCATACATGCATATAACAGAGGGACTTAGACCTAGATCTGAGTCTTGAGGAACTCCAGCATTTAATTAGTATGCCTTTTTAATAATTTCCTCTTTAGTATGATTTGCTGCATTTGTTCCTGTCTTCCAAAATACAAGCTGAAACAAAAGGAAATAATTAGGAATAAAAACAGAAGTCCAGGTTCTTGGTGAGATGGACACCAATTTTCACTCTGCTTACATGCAGCCGAGAGAAGGGAAATGTGTTTAGCAACATGGATTTAATTTTCTGACCAAAAAAAGCATATACATTCATCAGCAATGAAAACTTTTGTTTGGAACTGAGCTTAAATTGTTCTTAAATTTCAAGAAGAGTTTTTTTATATGACTTGCATAGACAGGATAAAAGTGAACATTGTTTAAAGACAGAGAAAACAGGGATTTTGCAAAAAAGACTTACTGATGCTGTCCTCATGGGCAGTTCTTACATTTATCCTTAGGTATTTAAGTAGCTTGTCTTTCCCATCAGGTTCTTTTTACAGTTTGCTTTGACTAGGACAGTGGTTCTGCAAACTCATTAGTCAACAGAGCCAAATATCAACAGTACAACGATTGAAATTTCTTTTGAGAGCCAAATTTTTAAAACTTAAACTGTATAGGTAGATACATTGTTATTAACTTAATTAATCCAGAGTCAGTTATAATTACACTTCATTTATTCATAAGACAGCTCTTTATTAATTGTGTATGCTGGTGTTCAGGGCTTCAGGGACGATATGATTTTGGCCCTTCAGGATTTCCCAGTGTGGTGGAGTGGAAAGTATGTTATTAAAAAAGAGGGAGGATAGTATGATAAATGCATAATAGTGACATTTGTAAGATATTAAGTAAACAATATCTTTTCCATCTGGAATACTGGGAACAGGCTTTGGAATTAGAACGGGTTGGGGCAGCAGCAAATACAGTCACCCCCAGGAAGGGAGGTCGAATGGAAAGGGGAAGATCTAGACGCATCATTTTATTCATTCCTTCCAACAGCTCTGGGAGGAGATTTGTAATATTCCACTTCACAGATGTGGAAACTAGTAAGAGGAGAGAGTCGGGGTTTTAACTATGTGAGACTCCAAAGTTTGTGCTCTTGAGCACCAGGTCTCTTGAATCTCTAATTTAAAAAAAAATTGCTTTTCTATTTGGAGGAATCATTGTTCTAGGAGATAGGATAGTTTTGAAGGTTGGATGCTGCTGTTTTAGGAATGAAAACAAAAGGGAAGGGAAGCTCAGGTCCCTTTATCTAGTAGCAGAATTCACTGGGCCTGCAGGGTTTTCTGACCTGGAATCAAACATGAGGTGAAAGGGTTTAAAGCTATGTGTGGATCACTCTTCCAATAGGAGAGCTTACGTGCAGAACATTCTCTTCTCCTAGCGTGACACAATAGAAATAACATGGTCTTAATAGTGCAGTACAATGAGATTTGAACCCCATTTTCTAGTTGTGTGACCTTGGTAAATGACTAACCTCTCTGAGTATTACTATCTAGTGCAGCCGTGGGCAAACTACGGCCCGCGGGCCGGATCCCACCCGTTTGAAATGAATAAAACTAAAAAAAAAAAAAAGACCGTACCCTTTTATGTAATGATGTTTACTTTGAATTTATATTAGTTCACACAAACACTCCATCCATGCTTTTGTTCCCACCCTCCGGTCCAGTTTAAGAACCCATTGTGGCCCTCGAGTCAAAAAGTTTGCCCACCCCTGATCTAGTGTATAGGGATGACGTGAGAATTAAGATAATGAATGAGAAGTGTATATAACACAGTATTAAGCACGGAAGAGGTCTTTGCCTCCTCATCTCTAAACAGGCTCTAGAGAAAGCTTCAGTTAAAAGATGGAACTAGAGAACATTCTATAATTTTCCTAAACATTTTTGGACTCCAGTTTCTTTTAGAATTATCGTGATAATCATTTTATTTGATCTTGATAAAAGCTCAGTGAAGTAGGATAGAGCAGGTATTTATAGATGAGAAAATGGAATCCTTTTTCTAATTTATTTTTTTTTTAAATTTAAGTATTTAAAAATATTCATAGAGGGAGAGAGAAACATCAATTATGAGAATAATTTTTAAAAATATATTTTTATTGATTTCAGAGAGGAAAGGAGAGAGAGATAGAAACATTAATAATGAGAGAGAATCATTGATTGGCTGCCACTTACATGCCCTGCCCCCCCCCCCCCCCCCCATGGAGCCCGAAACCAGGGCATGTGCCTGGCCAGTGTGGCTCTGTGGTTGAGTGTTGACCTATGAACCAGGAGGTTCTAATTTCTTGAAATCCTTTGGAAACCTATTAGATGAAAAAGATTTCCTAGAACTCTTAATGGTATGATAGTGACATCTACAGTAATAGCTCATATTATTACAGTCTTTTAAGAAGCTGCAGTTTAGATAATTTAACAGTAAAATCAGTAAGGACTTAACAATTGACTTAATCAAAACTTGCCATTTTGGGGGAGAAAGGAGGTATAAAAATATGTGATCAACTATACTTTGTTTAGCAGAATCACTTGTATAAATAATTACAATAAAACCTCAATTTTCCAAAACTACTATCACTTAGAACATGGTCGGCAAACCGCGGCTCACGAGCCACATGCGGCTCTTTGGCCCCTTGAGTGTGGCTCTTCCTAAGCCTTAGGAGTACCCTAGTTAATAACAATGTACCTACCTATATAGTTTAAGTTTAAAAAATTTGGCTCTCAAAAGAAATTTCAATCGTTGTACTGTCAATATTTGGCTCTGTTGACTAATGAGTTTGCCGACCACTAACTTAGAAGATTGGGATTATTAAAATAAATTTAAAGATGTATTGAATTCAACTGAGAATTTAAAAGGCCAAGGTAGTCCTATAATTGGTGTTTGGGCTAAAAAAGCTAGATTGGTGAAGTGCAAGAGTATTAGATTCAGGAGATCAGAGATAAGGTGATAACCAAGGCCAAAGAGGACAGAGGAAAGTGAAAAGGTGACAAGTACTGGAGCAGCTGATGTGAGGTGGCCTGGGTGTTGCAGGAGAGCACAAAGGGGATGACAGGAAAGCAGGTGATAGACCCACACCATTTCACTAGGAATTTAATTTTTAAATTAAATTAAAAATTTTGTTTTAGAGAGAGAGAGGACGGGAATAGAGAGAAAAAAAGAAACACTGATCAGCATGCCCCCTACTGGGGATCGAGCCCACAACCCAGGCATGTGTCCTGACCAGGAATCGAACTGGCAACCTTTTGGTGCATGGGATGACGCCCAACCTACTGACCAACGCTGGCGAGGGCTCGAAAATATTTTTTAAAAAAATTCTGAAACATCAAAAAGGTTTGTGTTCAATATATTACACTTGGTTATAAGAGGATATAAACAGTTTAGAAAGCATATCTGCTAGGGTTAAAACAGAAAAGTTAAAAAACACAGATAAGTTGTGCTTGGAGGATTAATCTGGTAACTAGACTATTCTCTGGCTATTCCATTTGAAGTTTCATGAAACTTGTATTTTTTTTTATAAATTTGCTAAGTATTATTTTAATTTATCATAAATTAATTCTTATAACAGATTTTAAGTATTTAATTTTGAAATATTTTAAGTATACAGGAAAAGTTGAAATATTTTAGATTAATAGACATCCATGTACCCACTACCCAGTTTTAACAGGTATTACATTTTGTCATATTTACCCCAAATATTTTTTAAAGAAATAATGTCTTATGTAAACAACTAAAAAGCCCCTTTTATGCATGCTTTTGTGCTTTCTGTAAGCATATAGTTAAGAACAATGTATACCATTGTATGTTGGTAATTGCTTTGGAGAACAGTTTGGCAATACCCAATAGAATTGATGTTGGTCTTTGTCAGTTATCTCATGAAACATAACAAACCACTCCAAAATTTAGTGCCTGACTCAGTGATTTCTTATTTCTCCTGGTTCTGTGGGTTGTCTCAGTGGTTCTTCTGTTTGTTTCATCTGTGCTCATCGATGGGCCTGCATTCAGCTGGGACACTGGCTGGGCTGAAAGCTTCAAGATGGCCTCACTCACGTGTTTGCCAGTTTATGCTGCTTGTCAGCTACGGTGCTGTTCCTCTGCCATGTGGCCTCTTGTCTCACAATAGGCTAGACTGGCCTCCTTCCATGGTGGTCCGAGGGCAGCCATCCAGTAAACATAAGTTGAAGTTTCAAGGTCTCTCATGGCCTGGGCCCTGAACTTATACTAGTGTGGCTTCCATGTGTTTTGTTGGTCAAAGCAAGCCTTCATTTTTGAGAAAACTCTACCACATTATCATACCCTTCAATTCAGCTGTTTTACTCCTCTCTGTCCTGGAGAAACTTACAAAACAGAGACATGAAGTACAAAGTTGTGCACTGCAGACTTGTTTATAATAGCCAAAAAGTAAAACAATATAACTATCTTTCAGAGGAAAATGGATAAATTTTAGTTTGCTTAAAAAATACCATATAGCATTTAAAATTAATGAACTACGTCTATATGAATCACCATGAATAATTCTAAAAATAGTTTGAGTGAAAAAGTCAGGTTGGAAAAGAATATGGATAGACTTATCCTTTATAATAAAAGGGTAACATGCAAATCAACCGAACAGCGGAACAGCCGGTCGCTATGATGTACACTGACCACCAGGGGGGAAGACGCTCAACGCAGGAGCTGTCCCCTGATGGTCAGTGCGCTCCCACAGGGGGAGCACAGCTCAGCCAGAAGCCGGCTCAGGTGAGCGCAGTGGTGGTGGAGGGATATCCCCTGAGGGCTAAGGAGGGCTCCTGGACTGCCAGAGGGCACAGGCCGGGCTGAGGGACTCTCACATGAATCTCGTGCACTGAGCCTCTAGTGTTTATATAATAACTTTGAAGTTTAACATTTGAAGTTTCTCGTGTAGGCTAGTGAGGATTTTGGTTTTGCTTTTGTTTTAAATTGCAGCTTATCTTTGGATGACCTCCTTAGAACTGGTGCTTTGAGTAGCTTCCATCCTTGGACAGCCAGTTAAGTTGTACTGTTTTCTGGCCAGACCAAGTGCTTTGTCTGGTCTAGCCATCACTAACAAGTCTGTGTTTAGTTTGTTGGCCATTGGATTGTAGCTCTTTATGCAGCTTTATCAGTATTGTTGGAAAAGACACTTAGAGTACAATTCTTTACTGTCTAAACTTATACCAGTTTACCTTCTCTGAGTTTCTTACCTGTAAGTGGGTAGGGCGATATGTATTTCATAGAGGTGTTGGGATGACTGGGATAATAATGCACAAAAACTTTAGACCAGTACTTGGTATAATGCAGGTGCTCTACAAACTGAAGCTCAAAAACACACAAACATATAGAATGGCATCTATATTAAGTTCACTTTCAATTGTGTAATGACTAGGTAAGATTACTTTAATTGCAGTGGGCTTCTGAAATGATGAAAGTTCATTATGATTAACTATAATTTACATTTTAAAGGTAATTTAAATTTATCAAGTTCTTTATAAAGTTCACTATCTGATTTTGTTACCAAGACAACTTTGTAAGATAGTTATCTTCTATCTAAGATAGCCTCCAAGTTTCAGGACAGGTTAAACAAGCAGTGGTAGTAGAAAGCTGATAGTGGTTGTAATGAAGGCATATTAAAGTAGAAATAATGATACTATTATATTTTAATTTTTATGAGTTCTTTTTGGTTTGTGTGCTTTACTACTTAGATTCTGAATACATTTGACTCTGTACTTTTCGTGTTTGCGTGTGTGTATGAGAGAGGGGGAGGGGGAGAGAGAGAAAGGGGGAGGGAGAAGAACTGTAGAAGAGGGTTGGTTGTGTCTTAATGGGACTGGAACTGCTGAAAAAGGAGATCCACCGCCTCTTTCTCACTCAGATCCAATAGTGTTGTATCCTCCACCCCTACCCTAAGGTCATGTTTTGAAATGCAGGGCTGATTGTCAAGATTTTTCTTTCTTTCTTTTCTTTTTTTCTTTGCAAATGTATAAATGTTTTATGGCAGTTAAGTATATGCCAGGGATTTGAGGAGAATTCCTTAGGTTGAATATGGATTAAAATTAACCCCAGTTTGGCTAACCATGTAGGATTTGCTAAGCCAAGTATGACAAATATATTTGGTGGCTACTGTTCAAATGCTTTGATTCAATTTATGCATATTAAACTAATTTTTTTTTAATCCTCATCTGAGGATATGTTTTTATTGTTTTGCGAGAGAGAGAAAGGGAGAGGGGGAGAGAAATATCAATGTGAGAGAGAAACATCGATGAGTTGCCTCCCGTACGTCTGCCAACTGGGGATGGAACTTGCAACCTGGGTATGTGCCCTGACTGGGAATCAAACCCACCACCTTTCAATGCACGGGACAACGCTCCAACCAAATGAGCCACACTGGCTAGGGCTGAATGTTTTTTTATTTTATTTCATGCTTTAAAAGTTTAAGAGAAACTTAAAAAAAATATTTGACTCTCTGACTTTTGTGGAATGTAACTATTGGTGATTGGTATTTTGGGTAGTCTATCTTCTTAAATAATTCCCCTTTTAAGATGTTTTGTAATTTTAAAAAAAATTAGATACTTAATGTATTAGGTCTTTATCATCTCTTTTATATTATCATAAAAATATCACCTTTTACCATTTATATGGATTTACTTCCAAGTAAGTAATTTTGACTTTGTGATCATATGTCAGTGGTAGATTAGTTTTGAAATAGGTTATATTTATCATTTATCCTGTGACTCTGAAGTGCTTTAGAAGCAAACGATACTAAATTTATTTTTTGTTTTACTTTGTATTTCAGAGTGTCTGTTGATTTTGGAAGAAATACCCAGTAACAAACATGACTGAGTTCTGGCTTATTTCGGCTCCTGGGGAGAAAACATGTCAACAAACATGGGAGAAATTGCATGCGGCAACCACAAAGAACAATAATCTTGCTGTTAGTTCAAAGTTCAACATTCCTGACTTAAAGGTAAAACTGCACTCTGCAGCAGTGTATGAGTTCATCATGAAAGGGAGGACGGTGTATCTCTGCTTCCCTTTTGGTAGAAATGAGATACCCAGGTTCCTTCTCTGGCCATTGGCATAATTTAAAACCTGTTCTTGTTCTTTCCAATCTTCAGATTTTAGATAATAAGTAAATTGAGATTTTAGAAGTGAGCTACCTAAACAAAATAACATTTTTTCCTAAACATTTATGCTTTTCTAAATTGTAATTTAAATTGTAATGAGAAATCTTATAAAAAGATTTGATATATATTTTGGGAGTTATGAATTCCTTCAAGACACTGATACAGACTATGGACATTTCTTCCACAACATGCTCATTTACACACATACAGTTTGCATTTAAATTCAGCTACAGACCCTCTAATGCAGTCCCGGATCTGTGCTAAGAGCTGCTATTGTAAACCATGGCTTCAGACGCTCCACCGTCACTGGGCAGGACAAGCAGAGGCATAGGCCTGCCTCTGCAGAATTGTCATGTCTTACACAGTGGTTATACCCCTGCATTAGAGGATTATCTTGTACATGTAATAGTTTTGAAATGTCTGGCAAACATTTTTTAACCACACTTGCACATTATGAAATAAAAAAAGGAGAACTTAAGTTCGTGGGCCCTTCAAATTAAGATGTTGTACCATCTTGTAAAAAAAAAAAAGAGAGAGAGAAACCTAAGTAATAAAATGCTGTATTGCCCCTCTAGGTTGGCACACTGGATGTCTTGGTTGGTTTGTCGGATGAACTGGCTAAACTGGATGCATTTGTAGAAGGGTAATGTACTTATACGCACAGACTAGAGCAAAATGAAAGTCACTGTTACCAGGCTGCTAGACATTTGGTTTATTATCACACATAGATACTGTGCTTATTGGAATGATTTTAGAAATGTTGACTCTTTTTTTTTTTTGCAATCGACTTTGTGATGATACTAGAGGCCTGGTGCACGGATTCGTGCACTGGTGGGGTCCCTCGGCCTGGCCTGTGCCCTCTCACAATCTGGAACCCCTCAGGGGATGTCGGACTGCTGGTTTCGGCCTGATCCCCGCAGGCCAGGCTGAGGGACCCCACCGGTGCACCCTCTAGTATGCATATAAGATTTTTGGTTAATCTCTTCCCCCCCCCCTCCCCCCTCCCCTCTCCCCCCTTCCCTCTGAGATTCATCAGTCTGTTCCATGTTTCCATGCCTGTGCATTGAGCATCTTCCCCCTGGTGGTCAGTGCATGTCATAGCGAATGGTTGAACAGTCGCTTAGGCTTTTATATATATAGGTAATTTCCATACAGTAAAATACTCCCGTTCGAAGTGTGATGTTATCATTTTTATTGAGATATACTTTACATGTCATGCAATTCATCTATTTAAAATGTACAATGCATTGATTCTTAGTATATTCACAGAGTTGTGCAGCCATCACCATAATCAACCTTAGTATATTTTTATCAACCATGAACATATCCACATTTTTGAATGTTCATAGCAATGGTTCTGTTTAAAAGATACTTGTTAATTTATAGGGGAATAATAGTTTGTCTCCTTTGAAGGAATAGGTGAATTTTGGAGACACAGCCAAGTGTATGTACAAATCCCAGGTTAAACATGTTGAAGATTTATGGCTTATATTTTTTTCTGAAATTGTTCCACTTCCTTAGGTTGAGGTCATTCAAATTTAGCCCTTCTGTCAATTTTTCTGGTCCTTATTATTGGTTCTTGTGCAGAAGTTTCTGAATTTGTCTTTCAATTTACCCTTCCTGCCATTGAGCACACAGTCATCAGATTGTCCGAGCCCTGTTGTGACTATGTTATCCCTCTCTCTAAAGTCTGACATCAGAGGCTATCTGTCTGCCGTCTGGCCCAGCCTGCCTTCCCAGCATAACATCCCCTTCTCATCAGCATGACATTCCAGGCAGTCTGGACTGCTCATCATTCTCTGATTGCCTGTTGCTTTTCTACCTCTCCTGGTCTTGACTCATGTGCTGCCCTGTGGCAAGAGTATACTTTCTTCCTGTCTAGTCATCCTTTCAAAACCATTCCTTTCCTTCGTTACCCAGTTCAGGAGCCATATGCTTGATTACAGTAGCTGGGAGTGATCCCTTTTTCCTTTATGCTTCTCTTTCTATAGCTTGGTAATCTTAGCTGGCACTTACCACAGATTGCTTTGTATTTAGTCATTTGTATATTTTGGTAGCTCTCCAATTCAACTTTAAGCAATGCGAAGTTAGTGATTTTGTCTTGTATACATTTGAATTTCATCCAGGGCCTAGTGGCACAACTGGATAAGGGAAAGAACACCAGACAGCAGAGTCAAAACACCACATTTCTAGCCACAAATCCGCCACTAACTGGTTTTGTGATTAAGTCACTTATTCTCCTTATTATTCGATGTCTTTACTTATAAAATGAAATTGACAGGGTGATATCTAGGTGCCTCAGAAGTTTGGCACTGAGGTTTCTTGTATATGATTGCTTCTTGCAAATGTTGCTGAATCATTACTGTTGCTTGTATTCTGTTTCCTACCAGCTCCCTTTCATCCTAAGTGAAAGCATATAATTGGTGAATGCTCACTAGCTCTCTGCCTCCTCCTTTGTTCTTGGTCCTTGCAGATCCATTGCCCAGTTTTTCAGTTTATAATATATGGCTATTTACAAACTGTTTCTCACTACCTTTTCAGATTAATAAATATATTTCATGTAGTCTCTTTGAAACTCTGTGGTTATGCAGTTGAGTTTTGCATAAAACAAAATTTTGGTCCATTTTATCCTTAAAACATTATTTAAAGAAGTTAGGACCCATTTGTTTTATATTATATAGATACTAGAGGCCCGTTGCAGGAAGATTCCTGCAAGAGTAGGGCTTCCTTGGGCCTATTCCTGCAAGAATAGGGCTTCCTGAGGCCGGAGTGAAGCAGAGAAGGGAGCGAAGCCGGCCGAGGCAGGCTTCACTCCCTTCTCCGCTGCCTCACTCCCTCTGTCTCCGCTGCCTCGGCCCCCTCCCTTCTCTGCTGCTTCGCTCCCTTCTGCAGTGCTTGGCTTCCTTCTACGCTGTCTTCAGTCTTCGCTCCGTGCCTGTGTATGCAAATTAACCGCCATCTTTGTTGGGTTAATTTGCATATCACTCTGATTGGCTGGTGGGCATAGCGCAGGGACGGTCAATTTGCATGTTTCTCTTTTATTAGTGTCGATGTGTAATGGGAACATATATAGTCAGTTTCATGTCTTTATGTAGTGTGTTCATTGTATAGCATGGAATTTGGGTCTTTCTCCTGAAAATTATTGTTGATTTTCTTTTCTCCCAAGGGTGGTTAAGAAAGTGGCCCAATATATGGCTGACGTATTGGAGGATAGTAAAGATAAAGTCCAAGAGAATCTGCTGGCAAATGGAGGTAAGCTAATGTCTCATGATTTGATGTTGACTTGTACAAAGTGAATGACCAAGCTACAAAAACAAAAAAGAGTTTGCTTTATGAAATAATCCTAGATAATAAAGATGTAATATGCAAATGGTCATTACATAATGACCGACCACATAATGACCGGATCAGGGATCAGCAGGAGGGTGGGTCAGCGAGCTATAAGTGGGCAAGTGGGCGGCGGAGAGCTACATGAGGGGGCAGGGCAGCAAGCTGAGGAGGGGGCAGGGGGAAGGGGGAGGGGAGCAGGGGGAGCTACAGGAGGGCGGGGCAGCAGGCGGAGAGCTACAGGAGGGCGACAGCGAGCTACTGGCGCACAGATTTATGTGCAGGCTACTAGTAGCTTTATAAAGGTGGCTTTGACATCATTGTTGTCATTTGTACTGCATTTGTTGTTTGTTATGAAATACCACTTTAGCATTTGCTTTATTTTAAATTAGGCTGATCTTTAGTTTTATGTCATTACAATACAAAATAACCTTCTATTCTGTATTTCCTTCTATTCTGTATTGCCTACTATAAGGTCACTAATGTGACTTTGTTAAATTAACATTTGTTAAGTAGAGCCCCAGGGTGTCATGGGATGGTGAGCCACTGTTCAACAAAAGGGAAAGTGAAATAGAGAAGTTTATTACTCTCAGGTCCTGGAGGATGTAGGGCCCATGGAGAGGTCAAGCAGGGTACAGGCCAGAGCATCAGGACACATGCCTTTAATAGGGTCTGTGGGTGGAGTGCTTTGGGATTCCCAGGCTAAGTCCCGATTGGTCAATTGAGACCAAAAAGAATAGGGTTTTGGTAACTTGGAGAGGGCTTATCTAAAGGGTACACAGGGGAAGGCCCTGGGCAGTGGGGGGTCAGGGAGAGTTCAGTCAGGAACTTACACTTGGTTGTGACTCTGGAGGCTGTTATTTACGGCTGTTATTGAGGGAGAGGGAGTGTAATTTCTAGGCCCCTGCAGGCCACTTGGCCACACAAAAGGGATGCTGAGGCAGCATTATGGAGTAGTGTGGTCAAACTCTCAAAAGTAGCAGTATTTTGCCTGGCCAGTGTGGCTCAATGGTTGAGTGTTGACCTATGCACCAATAGGTTACAGGTTCTTGGGTTCAATTCCTGGTCAGGGCACATACCGAGGTTGTGGGCCCAACCCCCAGTGTAGTGCGTGCAGGAGGCAGCCGATCAATGATTCTAATCATTGATGTTTCTACCTCTCTCTCCTTTCCTCTGAGAAATCAATAAAGATATATTTTTAAAAATATTTTTGAGTAAGTATAAAAGATTCAATCAAATTGCAACATAAAATTTTGATTAACTGATGTTAAATATGGTCCACATTTATTTAATCAGAACATTTCAGAAATGATGATATATCTTTACTGATTTTCCAAATGCCAATTTCAAATATCTGAATGTTTACTGTGTAGCAGACTACAAAAAATTCTATTGCTTCTCCTCAGTAATTAATTTATTTTTTTATTTCAGTTGACTTGGTTACTTATATAACAAGATTTCAGTGGGACATGGCTAAATATCCAATCAAACAATCTCTGAAAAATATTTCTGAAATAATTGCCAAGGTAAGATAAAAAATAACACAGGTAGGACACATCGATTTATAGTGGCTACTTTCATTTTATAAGCATTTAGCTATGGAAATACGCTTTAGGTTTTGACAAGGCAACTTAATTACAGATGATTGATACAAATAGGAGCTACCCTAACTACAACTTTACTAAAAAAAAAGATGTTAATAAGTATAGCACTTTCATGTATACAGTATCCAAGTTGTATAGTTTACTTATTTACATAGTTCATTTAAATATTGCATCAACAGTGGTAAAATAAGAATCTTTAAAATTCTGTAATTATCGCTTATACACATTTTAAGGGTAACTGAGGTGTTGTAGAACAGGAAAATGGAGTCTATTAAGGATTTATGAGTCATGTAGATGGCAATGGCCACTTAAGTATGTTTTATGTGAAGTGCTGATTTAGACGTTAAACTTTATGTGTTCTCTGACGCCTTCTGACAGTCATTATTGCTTCTCTACCCAGAAGGACGCCATGCTCATACACCACATGAATCTATGTACAGTTTCAGAGAGTACACAGATCCTGAAGCCCATCCATGAACTCGCTGAGTTAAAAGCTCCTTCTATATTGCAAAGTCCTGGAGCTTGAGAAGAAATGTAAAAGTCTTACCTGAAATTATAACGAGGCAAATAGACAAAGAGCTATTTGTCAACATTTTTATGACCTGGCTAGGGTGAAAAGTATGGTTTAAACTACTTGGACAGACTTTGCTTAACCCTCTATGATTTTACTTGTATAGTGTGCTCTATAGTTAAATGTAACTGAATAGATTATCAAGGATTTTAACTAAAATCATAAAATTCAATGAACTAGAGTAGTTTGATAATATAAAATGGTGTTCTTACTATGACTGAGCCTTATTTTTTTATTCTCATCAAGGATTTGGTGTTCTTCTTCCTGATACTATATAGATGAGGAAACAGGCTCAGAGAAAGTCAAGGGACTTACCAGTACACAAAGCTAATAATGGTAGAGCTGAGTTGAAACTAGTTTTTCAGATGCTGTCAGGATTGCTGAGTGGTCAAAGGCGTCAGACTCAAGGTGCTCAAATGTGAAATCTGCTTTGTGTTTTCTCCCTAAAGTATTAGTAGTTTTAGTCATCTTTTTGAAAAATCAGCTTTTGTAAAATTTATAAATAAATTCAACTACAATTCAGAGTATATTGAGAAAACATTTTGTGTAATAATAGTAATAATGGAGTTGTGAACATTACAACTTTAATTTAGTTCCTTTGGGAATTAATCCTTCAGCCGTATAAATTGAGGCCTTTTAATTAGTAATCTCTAAACTGGTGGCCTAGATTCCATTTAGGTTTAAGAAGTAATATGGTAAATAATTAAAATACATGTGGACTAAAACATTATCTTTAGTAGAAAAGATTCATATGGAAATTACCATGGTTATTAAAAATAAAGTAGGTTATTTTAAAAATGACCTTATGAAGATGTGATTTTAAAATATTTTTACATTAGGAACTAATTGTTGTTATTTTTTAAAGTTAGTGTTTAAGTACAGCTACTTTAATTGTATTAGTAGAGGTGGATTTAGGAAAATCTTGCTTATTTTTTATTGATTTTATTTTATTTTTTTATAAATCTTTATTGTTGAAAGTATTACATATGTCCCTTTTTTTCTCCCATTGACCCCTTATAAGCCACCCCAACCCCCCACCCCCTACCTTAGGCCTCCACCACCCTGTTGTCTGTGTCCATGGGTTATGCATATATGCATACAAGTTCTTTGGTTGATCTCTTCTCACCCACCCGCCCACCCCCACCTTCCTCTGATATTTGACAGTCTGTTCCATGCTTCTTTGTCTCTGGGCCTATTTTATTTTTAAAGGGAGTGACTCAGATCGACAATGACCTGAAATCTCGAGCATCTGCATATAATAACCTGAAAGGGAATCTTCAGAATTTGGAACGAAAGAATGCGTAAGCATATCAAGTATTTGTGAATATTAAGAATTAGAGAAGCACTCTAGCGTACACTGAATGAGATATTGTTGGGATTTAGTAAAGTTCCAGCTGTTTCTATAATCAAAGTGGTATTTTTTCACTTCATGGAGAAAAGTGTATTAATTGAGTCTAGTCAAAACAGATGTGAGGTTGATTTATTATACTTGTTTCATAAATAACACCTGTGAGTGCTGCTCAAGAGCTCAGCCCTGCTTTATTCATTTGGTAGAAAAATGTCTAAAATTAGTTGTTTCAAATCAAATCATAGTTTAATTGCACAGTCTGCTTAAAAGAATTCTATAGAGGAATTCTTTTATAATCCGATATTCATTCTTTGTTTTCCAAGTTTAGGTGTTTTACACCTTAGGTTTTCTTAAAATCAAATACACTTCTGGTTGATCTCCTTGTAGCATGACTACTACAGGGGTAGCTTTAAGCACTTAACTGTTGAAGTTAAGCATTTATATCCCAGAGGAAAAGGTGGTTGATATATTTACTGTCAGTGGTGCAAACAGGCAAGACATTTTATTATGAAAGGATTAGTACTGGGACACTACATGAAGACCGATTGGAAGAGTTGATTATTGGGTTAACTAACCAAAACTGCCTGGTAACAAAAGATACCCAGGGGGAGGGAGGAAAACCAAGGTATAGATGATATAATTTCATAATTATGATGAAATAGACTTCAGTTGATATCTAATGAATAACACTTTCCCAGTCAAGATATTATAAATGTAATCAACAGAAGACCCATCTTCCAATTAAGGCAAACACAAAGGCAGACACTAGAGACAGATTTTGATAAATGTTGCCATTTCCTTCATTGCAGGGGTGAGAAATAGCTAAATTTTGAAGACTTATAAAGTAAAAATGTTAACTAGACTAATGCCTCTCTTGAGATGTCTTTATAGTGTATGTGAATATAATTAGCTTGCTGTTTCTTTCTTGTGTTATGGAAGCCCATAATTATCAGCCTAATGATTTTTTCCTTCTTCCTCAGAGGAAGTTTGCTAACTAGAAGTCTCTCAGAAATTGTGAAGAAGGATGACTTTGTTCTTGATTCAGAGTATCTCGTCACGTTACTGGTTGTAGTTCCCAAGTATGTTTTTTTATTAAAAAGATTTTTTTACCTGTTAAAATACAAGAAAAATGTTTGTATCTGACATTTTAATTTGAAGTTTTCCATAAAATCCAAGTGTAAAGGGACTCGCACTGAAGGGTGCCAGATTCGATTCCCTGGTCAAGAGTTGCAGGTTCCAGAGCTCATGTGGGAGGCAACCAATCGGTGTGTGTCTCTCTCTCTCCCCTTCCCTCACTCCTTTCCCCTCTCTCAGAATAGCAATGGGAAAAATATCCTCAAGTGCGGATTAACCACAACAAAATTCAAATAAAAGAAAAGGAAGACTAATTACCTAGTTTAAAAAACACAACACAGAAACTAAGGGCTCCAGAAGTTGTATTTCGTGTGTGAGTTATGTAACTCAGCCTTGCTGTACTGGAACACTGATTTTTTATCATCAATTTCTGTGTATTCGTGTTTTTATAATATATAGGAAAATACCTTTGCCCAGATAAAAGATTGGTCTCATTTAATCTTTATTTAAAATTTGTGTTTAAAACCAGAAGTTTTCACAGTTTTCTGTATACAATAATTGAAACATAGACCTAAGCACCTTAAACAATGAATTATTTTCTGTCTTGGTCTACAAATACTAAAGTTCTTTATTTTAAATTACAGACATAATTGTCACTTTCCACACCCCCAAAAGCCAGTGTTCTTTAGAGAAGGGTGTTGCACAATTCGCTGTGGCAGCATAGTTTGCTGTCCCTTTATTTACTGAACACTTCCTGGTACTTGGTGCTTTCAGTAAATACAGTTCCTTCCAGCCTTTCTTAATGGTCCTGAAAAGAAATGGTCATGGTTTGTCATGCATGGCCTTTTTCTTTCTTTTTAAAAAATGAGGTAATATACTTCAACCCGAAAGTTTGAAAGTAGTTGAGAATCTATACTTTGCCTTACTTCCTTTCTAAACTTCGTTCTGGGCTGTGTCTGCTTTGCAGTAGTTCCTGGATGTAATGTAGTTCCCGTTTCACTCAACAAGTGTGTTTGAAATTCATTCTCAGTAGGATACTTGAATATTTTGTTAAATGGGTTTGACGTATACTTACTATAGCCACATTTCCTGTTTGTCCCATCCCTTTTCTCCACTGGGTGTGGCAGGAGGTAGGACTTGTTTTCCCCCAGTACTGACTGCACCTTTCCTGCAGGTTAAACCACAACGACTGGATGAAGCAGTACGAGACACTAGCCGAGATGGTCGTTCCCAGGTCTAGCAAGTAAGTCGGAGTCTTTGTAAAACCCCTTTCTTTCCTGGAATTCCTTTTACAGTCTGGATGTTGGGTTAGGAAATGCCTTTATGTCTTTCCTTTGTGGTGAATTTATATTGTAAAATCCTCTTTTCACCTTATCAGTGAGTTATGTTAACTCCAGCTGTCACACTTTTAGACCTGGGATTGCACAGTCTGGTTGGCCCGCGCATGTTGACTGGTACAGACATTTGAGGCCACAGAAGTGAGGTGGTTTGTCCAGAGTCACACATCTGTTCATGCAGGGCCCGTACTAGAACCCGGGTCTCATGTGGCACTTTCCCTGCTGCTACCTTCTGAAAATTCTTTTTAACAATATATTTTTATTGCTTTTAGAGAGGAAGGGAGAGGAAGAGATAGAAACATCAATGATGAGAGAGAATCATTGATAGGCTGCCTCCTGCACGCCCCACACTGGGGATTGAGCTCGCAACCTGGGCATTTGCGCTGACCAGGAATCAAACCGTAACCTCCTGGTTCATAGGCTGACACTTAACCACTGAGCCACGCCAGCTGGGCCAGATGTTGATTTTTTTGAAACATAAACCACAAACCAGTGCCCATCATGAAATATTTTTTTGGAGGGAGTTTGGTGAGGGAGCGGGGGCTATCTCTTTCACTCACACCAGCCCTTCCCATGATAAACTGAAGACTAATGTGTCTTGACACTAGTTTCCCACGGAAGCTCTTTATCCTGACAGATCACACCTCTTATACCTCTGTGCTCTGTGGGCATTAAAGCCATAGGGGCTGACTTTGTCTGGGAGGCAGGGGAGGGAGGAGAAGAAGGACCCCATGCACACGGTATGTCCCCACAAGTTGTACATATGCCAAACCTGGGTTCCAGGGGAGTGGTGTGTAGGCTAGATAAGTAAGCCCTGATTTATTCTAAAGGAAGGACTTTAAAATATTACTTTAGAACCCGGCTGGCATGGCTAAGTGGTTGAGTATTGACCTATGAACCAGGGGGTCACGGCACATTTGATTACCAGTCAGGGCACATGCCTGGGTTGTGGGCTCGATCCCCAGTGTGGGGCGTGCAGGAGGCAGCCTACCAATCATTCTCTCTTATCATTAATGTTTCTCTCTCTATCCCTCTCCCTTCTTCTCTGAAATCAATAAAAAAAATATAAAAACAAACAAAACACTAAGTAAATAATCTTACTTTGGAGATGTCCATCTTTTAAAGTCACTATAGTAGTTTCAAAGAAAAAGTGTCAGGCAGTAACAGGTTAGCCCAGGCAGTACCAGTCTTCTGAACGACGTACAAGTGCTCATGACCACCTGAGAGTCCCAGCCCTTCCTCACCCAGTGAAGACATCTGTTCTACTCTGTTTCTCAGCTCAGAAGTCATTTGGAATCACTGACTTGAAAACTTACTGTCTAAATGTAGTCAAGAGCAGAGCAGCCGTGCAGCCAGCACCGGGACAAGGGTGGAAGGTCAGTGCCAGTGGGGAGACAGGCTAGTGGGTTAGTCTGGAATCCTGTCCGCTGTTTAAGAAAGGTCTCTGTGGCTTGGTGCTGGGTGTTTTGGTTATCATAATAACTAACATTTTGGAGTAATTACTGTGTGCTAGTCATTGTTCTAAGTGCTTTATTTTTAACTGAGTTATAAGCAGTAATACTTGTGGCTTTTTGGCATGATACTTGGGAGGAGTGAAGATGAAAGTGGAATTCTGAGGTAGAAGAATAGATTGAAAAAATACTATCTCAAACCTGAAAGAAACATTCATTTAAAAATGCATAAAATCTAGACTCATATGGTTCAGTGGTTGAGTGTCAACCTAGGAACCAGGAGGTCACGGTTCCATTCCTGGTCAGGGCACATGCCTGGTTTGGGGGCTTGATCCCCAGTAGGGATGGGGGGCGGTGCAGGAGGCAGCCAATCAATGATTCTCTCTCATCATTGATGTTTCTATCTCTCTCCCCCTCTCCCTTGCTCTCTGAAATCAATAAAAATATATTTAAAAATGCATAAAATCTAGCTATTTGCAAAATATTCTACCTAAAGTCTTCAAGTATTGACAATTTGAAATATTGCCATTATTGTGTGTTACGTGCATGGATGTGTATAAATGCCATGTCAGTATTACAGCCAAGAAAGTGGAGGCTGGGCTGCTGTTCTGCTTCTTTTGTAAAAAAAAAAAAAGCAGTTCAGAAAGAGGTACTTGGCATTTATGCTTTCAGAATTACCACTTTCCTTTTTGTCTGTCTGCTTTTGCTTGTTAAGGTAACTTGAAAGGGTCAGGTCACTGGTTCACCTCTGCCTCTGTTGTCAGAAACAAACTCATTGCTGCTTCGTGGAGGTTTTAATTCAAGGAGCTAGAGCTCCAGATGAGGCACAGGAGCCTCACTAAGAAGATCTAGAAAAAGACGCACTAGCCACTGTGCACAGGACACTTTCTCTTGTTTTGGGACAGAGGTTGCAGAGATCACTTTTTAAAAAATATATATTTTATTGATTTTTTTACACAGAGGAAGGGAGAGGGATAGAGAGTTAGAAACATCAATGAGAGAGAAACATCGATCAGCTGCCTCCTGCACACCCCCTACTGGGGATGTGCCCGTAACCAAGGTACATGCCCTTGACCGGAATCGAACCTGGGACCCTTGAGTCCTCAGGCCAGTGCTCTATCCACTGAGCCAAACCGGTTAGGGCTGCAGAGTTCACTTTTATGAAGAAAATCAGGGAAGATGTCTTGATGATGAAGCAGGTAGGTTGACTGGGAGCAGTGCATATGGCAGGTCTTTTCAGTGACTTCCCTGAGAGCTGTGACTGGGTGGACATGCGACCTCTCTGGGATCTTCTAAAGCAGGGGTGGGGGACCTTTTTTCTGCCAAGGCCCATTTGGATATTTATAACATCATTCACAGGCCATACAAAATTATCAACTTAAAGATTAGCCTGCTATACTAGTATTTGGTCAAACATTTAATTAAGTCACCCCTAATGTCTTGGCAGGGCCAGACCAAATGATTCCCACTGGCCAGATGTCCCCCATCCCGTTATAAAGGCTAACATGGCCCGACCCACATGGCTCAGTGGTTGAACATGGACCTATGAACCAGGAGGTCACGGTTCGATTCCAGGTCAGGGCACATGCTCAGGTTGCTGGCTCAGTCCTCAGTGGGGGCATGCAGGAGGCAGCCCATCAATGATTCTCTCTCTCCCTCTCCCTTCCTTTTAGAAATCAAAAAATATATATATATTTTCAAAAAGCCTAACATGGAGCCCTGAGATGCATAAAAGAGTGTTTTTTCAGAGGTTATTTAGACGTCTGTGTTAGTTTTGATCTAGGGTGTGCTGGGAGAAAAGGAAGTTTCTGAGGTGAGAGGTTCTGGCAGTGCAGCGGGTGGGCCAGGCCCCGGGGGTTGGGCTGGCCTGGAGAGAGAATGAGGTTTCCAGAAGAGAAGAGGATGCAGCAAGGAAGCGAGGAGACTCTGGAAACAACCCAGCTGCTGGACGGTTGCCTCGGCCAGCCCGGCACTGATGTGGATTGAACAGCATGGTTCTCAGAGTTCGGGGGTTCTCCTTGAGTTACTGTGTAATATTACCGGTTAGGATGCAGTAAATGTAATACAGGGCTATTACGGTGAGTAAAAACGTCCAGGACTCAGTGTCCTCAGTGTTTGGGGCAATACAGATGGGTAGCATTGAGATGGTTTGGGAGGGCTGCCACACCTACTGTTCTCCTCCTCCCCCAGTGTTTCTGAATCCTGTCTTCACTATTAAAGAGAGCAAGTCAACGTAAGTTTTAACCAGACTTTGTCTTCTTTCCCTAGTGTGCTCTCAGAGGACCAAGACAGTTACCTTTGTAATGTCACCTTGTTTAGGAAGGCAGTTGATGACTTCAGACACAAAGCCAGGGAAAACAAGTAAGATCATTATTTTTTCTGTTTGTTTTTTTATCTTGTTAAACCACCTATACACCGGAGTGGACAATTTTGTTTTCCCCCCACGTTTAGATTCATTGTTCGTGATTTCCAGTATAATGAAGAGGAGATGAAAGCAGACAAAGAAGAAATGAACAGGCTTTCTACTGACAAGAAGAAGCAATTTGTATGTATTCTTAACATTTAGCATTAGCCTTGTTAAACAGAAGAAAACCTGATGTTGCTTTTATTTGATTTAAGAAAGCAAAACCCCCATTTTGCTTTTAAGACATTCGATTTTAAGTATTTTTTCTATTAAATAAGCAGAATGAGTTTTTTCTAAAGCTGAGATTTGTGAGTAGTTATCTTAAAATACATACCTAAAATTAATTACTCCCATTTAATCCATATCAGAAATTAATTTTAAATGCAGTGTTTTGATTGGAACCCCTGTGGTGGAAGCGTTATTTAAGTATTAGCTTTCCTTTCCAGTAAGACTTTTTCTTTTCTTGAGGCAGATGTTTTTAATGCCACAATATTTTACTGAAGCAATTTATTGAAATCATTGGAGAATGTTATGTTCTAGGCAAAATGGGAACAGGAATGGATTTGGTGTCCACTCTCTTGCCATCTTCAAATACAGGACTATTGTGAAGACCAAAAGATTGTGTGGAAGGGGAGACGTGACTAGTGAAAGGTGTTTCTCTTGTAATGAAAGAGAAAAGAAAAGCAAATTTCATTTAAAGTTATTTCTAAGAACTTTATAAACCATATTATCTTATTTGGGAGAAAACTAACCCTAACCAAGTAATATCTAAGCAAGCCAATTGGTTCATCTAATTCCTACTTGCCATTTTCAAGACCAGATTTGTGGTAATTTTTTTCCTCTTTTATAGGGACCACTTGTGCGGTGGCTGAAAGTGAATTTCAGTGAAGCATTTATTGCGTGGATTCATGTGAAAGCATTGAGGGTTTTTGTAGAGTCTGTTTTAAGGTAAAGAAAGTTAATTGAGAAACGTGGGTATGAAGAGCTTATAGATGCCTTTATATTGGACCCCTTTATTATAGCACACAGCCCAGTAATAGGAAATGGACTTGTAGAAACCAAAGGGCCAGTCGTGAGGAGAGGCTGTCGGTGTCACCCAACTATTGCCTGTGTGTTAGTCGTGTCTCTTAACACTGGTTTAGGACCAGAGCTCCCTGCTGCTGTGCTCTCAGAGTCTCTTCTCATGTATTTAAGCCAGTCGTGGGCAAACTACGGCCCGTGGGCCGGATCCAGCCCATTTGAAATGAATAAAACTAAAAAAAAAAAAAAAAGACCGTACCCTTTTATGTAATGATGTTTACTTTGAATTTATATTAGTTCACACAAACACTCCATCCATGCTTTTGTTCCAGCCCTCCGGTCCAGTTTAAGAACCCATTGTGGCCCTCAAGTCAAAAAGTTTGCCCACCCCTGATTTAAGGCAAACGTAGATTGTACAATATTAGCCAATGTTTGTTTAAAAGAAGATCTTTCAGATATTTACATGTACACAGTATACTAATGACTTATATGAAATCGTTTCATTTAACCTATAATATTTAATATTTTGACATAAAATCTAAATCATCTTGTGATCCTGTGTACATGTTACTCCTATTAGAAATTGTTATAGACGTACCTGCAGCTATGCTATTTTAAAATTACTTGGAATTTTCAAAGTAGATGTGGGTAATCTCATTGTTTATCTTGAAAGTATTTACTAAGTTTACACATTATCACTATTTTATTCATAGATTTCCTTAAAAATTAAAGAGTAATTAAAGTAATTCCTAATAGATAATTGGCTCTCATTTTAGAGAAAAATACCTAGTGGACAGTGAGGACCAGAGAAGGCTTGAGTTTCTATGTATATTAGTTGAACTTGTAAAATGAGGTACCATCTCCCCATTAGCTGTGATTAAAGAAGAGTATGAAAATATTTGCTTTCCCAATAAAGTCTATGTGTGTGTTTGTGTTACATAATATATTTTTGCTTCCTTACAAGGTATGGCTTGCCAGTGAACTTCCAAGCAATGCTACTTCAGCCCAATAAGAAAACAATGAAGAAACTAAGAGAAGTATTATATGAATTGTATAAACATCTAGATAGCAGTGCAGCAGCTATCATTGATGTAAGTACTTATTAGATAGCCTTGGAGAATAAGAACTGGAATGAATTTCAGGAAAAATTGGAAAAGATAGACAGAAAAGGGATAGTGAATATCATGATACCCATTTTTTAAAAGTTATTTCTAAGTACTTTTGAGATTCTCAGTTAATTGTTTGATAAAATAGCCAGTAATTTACCTTGTCTACCCTGTTTTATGCTAGTTAGAGCTGGGAATGCTAAAAACCAATCATTATCTTGCTTTAAACCAGATGTTCATAGTTGGAGAAATACAGAACCAACCAGTGATACTAGTTATTTACAAAAATTATAATTCTTTTCTTGCAGAGAAGAAAATTAGTAGTTATTTTAACTTTATTTGGTAGAAGTAATGAGTTAATAGATGAGCATTGTAAAGCAAATTGTTTTTCTAAAATTGTATGTGTTTATATCATCTTTTAAATAGAAAATAAAGCATATGTGTGTTTTGTCATTGTTTAAAATTGTAGTGGGCTTTTATATTTTTTATTTCAAATATCTTGATTTTCCCCCCTCTTTAGGATGGTAAATCTCACATGTGTATTAGTTAGAACCTATGAAAAATCAAGGTTTTTTTGATAGAAGAAAGTGCAAGAAATGACTGTCTGCATTTTCATGGAATTGTCTATAAAATAGGTCTAAATATTTGCTACATAATTTCCTAACAGTAAATTCTTATAGCATGCATATGTAATATATGATATCTTTAAAACAAAGCTTCACTTATTTTTATCCAATACTTTATTTTCTTTTATCCTGGAAACTCAATACTCCAAGCCTGAGACTTAAAAATAATTCTTTACAGTGTGCATAAAAAGGGGTGGCAGGACCAGGAAGACACACAGGCTTTGGAGTCACAACAGGCTTGACGTTGGGCCTTACTGTGCTGTGTTTCCTAGGGCAAGTCAGCCTTTCTGAGGTGGTTTCCTCATTTGCAAAATGGAGATGATAATGCCTGCTTCAAGTTAAATGAGCAGAAATGCATAAACTTAGTCCAGAGGAGGTGTTTAATAGACAGTACATGGTAATACTTGACTTCTTTGTTTGCTTTCTGTAAGTACATAATCGAGCACTTTGTCTGATTTCCATAGGCACCTATGGATATCCCAGGCTTAAACCTGAGTCAGCAGGAATACTACCCCTATGTATACTACAAGATCGATTGCAACTTGCTGGAATTCAAGTGAAAACGAGCTCCTCCCGGACAGCCCTGTCCTTGTGTTGGTGTATGCTCACAGAAATAGGCTGAAGTATGGCAGTGCTTTTAGCTCTATTACCCTTGCTTGCTTCTGACCCTTTTCCTAGGTGAATTCTCCCATCGTGGTCCATTTCCAAGCATTTTCTTTTAAAAGAAAAATGTATGTCTTGTTTGTTTTTATTGATCAGGTCTGTAAATGTGTACTAAAAAAATCAGAGTCTATTTATAAACAGAATAGTTTATTTAAAGAGGTCTTTCCTCACGATGTTGTGATATGCATAATTCCATTTGTTACTGTTGTGCACAGAAGCCTTGTTTACAAGGGAATGGTGTAAACATTTATGCCATTTTGCTTACTGTATTTAGTAGACATAACTGTTTAATAGTTACTGAATCGTGATGTAAAGAAATGTGACAATATTCAGGTATGTGCTTTCTCAATGTTTCAAATGAAATCTCGGAGCTTTGTTGACATCCACAGGAGAGAATAAAATTACCTGTGCAAAGGTGTATGTGGTGTGCGTACCTTCAGATTACAGTTCAGCTTGAGAGTTTAATGAATGGGATCAGAGCTCACTTGCTGTGCCACTTTCAGGATGGGCATTTACATTTGGACACTAGACTCATAGTTCTCAAATCATTAGGAAGTAGGGCCAATTTTGAATAAAGTATAGCAAAACTGCAGCTTTAGTGATTTGTCTAAGTATTTTACACATTTTAAAGCTCTATAATTATAAAAGCCTTTATTTTGACATTTATGACATAGTCTGAAGATAGAAGCATTGCTAGCCTTAGTGCACGACTTAGTTTAGCATCGTTAGAGCTTTTAAACGAGGGTTTTGTCACAGAGCTGCCCTTCCTGTGCCCTCATCGCCTAGTTAAGTGGGAGAAAGAAGTTTACGTTTCATTTTAAGGGCATTTATAAACCTATTTTCTCTAGAAAATTAGTCTCCAAGATCTTTGTATTTCAAAATTAATTGTTAATTTCAAACTATATAGACTTCTAAAAGTAAAACATGAGAGATGATGCCTGCTCCTTCCACTGCCCTCCCTGCTCTACCCACCTTCCCACCCCCAGCCAGTTGCTTCTTCCCAAGGGAGTTTATGTATGTATTCTTCCAGGCCTTTTTGTATCTCCACAGCATATGTCACACACAGATACATGCACACGCACACACATGCACATACAGTTTATTTTTAAATAAAAATAAGAGCATACTGCACATACTCTGTCACCTTTTTTCTTATTGGTATACCCAAGATATCCTTACGTGTCCGTGTACCTAGAGCTACCTCATTCTTTAACCAGCTGCGTGGTTTTCCCTCGTGTTTGTGCCATAATACAGTTGACGGATGGCTGTCAGCTTGTATTAGTTTTCGCTACTGCTTTAGTAAACATCTGGCACAGATGTCTTTGTTTCCTTCTATTAGTATTTCTGTAAGAGATCCTGGAAGCAGATTGGAAGGTGTGTATGCTTACATTTTGACACATAACTGCCAGGTCATCCATTAATGTTCATTGAAAACCTGTTTGGAATGCAGATTTTATTTTCAGTTTTCCTTCGGATAAGAGGAAGCTGAAAAGTTTTGCTGTTGATATAAAATTCTGGTTCTGTTTCTTACGAGTATTCTTTGAGTCTTAGGATCTGTAAAAGGAATATAATCTCTATCATGGGCAATGTGTTTTGCTGATTAAAAGATTTGTAGGCCTACGCAATATTTAAGGTTTGATTTAGACTTTGATACTATTCTGATAGGAGTAGGTAGAATTGTATCAATCTAAAATCCCAGCGTAGGTCTGGAACTACGGGACTTGCGCTATGACTTTTCTCAGGGACGCAGTCCAGCAGAGTGGCTGAGTGTAGCTCTGGAGCCAGAGCCCAGCTCTGCCACGGAGCAGCTCTGTGGTCTCCACGCTCGGTCCCTCCTTCACGGCCTAGAGATCCCCCTCTCACAGGGCTGCTGTGCTGGGGAGGCAAATTCCCAAACGCACATCGAGAACTTAGAAAGGTGCCTGGTAAGTGCTTGAAACATGGACTTACAATCCTGGAGGAGTGCTGGTCGCTCCTCGTTCACTGGTGTGTGATTTGGAATTTCATGGTCCAGGACACTGTGGAGTCTGAAGACCAGAAAGAAGTAATTGTGGGGGCGGGCAAGGTGAATAACAGAGCTTGTGTCTGTAACATAACATTAAAGCAGTTTGAGTGTCTCCGAGCTCAGTCGTGGTGGATTATTTACGTTGTTACTGGCAGCTCCCTTTCCTGGGAAGGGGCTGTTTCATCGCTGGCCTTGCATTGTGACGAATCTACTGGTTCTCTAGGGTAGAGCTGAGACCCTTCAGCCGGTGCGCACACCCACCACCTCGTCCCTCCCTGTTCATGGTGGGAGGACTGCTGGTCCCCATTCTACACTGCAGGGGCTGAGGGTCAAAGAAGTGAAGGGATTTCTTTGTTAAAACTCACAAAATTTGAGTCGGAATCAGAACTTGAACCTCAAAGTTCTGACTGCTGAGATCTTTCCTTGGCACCATGTCTCCTGCCCTCCACTAGGTACTTGCTGTGTAAGTGAGCCAAACGCATTCCATAACCAGAGTTCAAGTTAGTGATGTGGAAAAGACATTGGGCCCAGCCGGTGTGGCTCAGTGGTTGAGCATCGACCTATGAACCAGGAGGTCATGGTTTGATCCCTGGTCAGGGCACATGCCTGAGTTGCAGGCTTGATCCCCAGTAGGTGGCATGCAGGAGGCAGCCAATTGATGATGTTCCTCTCATCGATGTTTCTATTCCTCTGCCTTTCTCTCTCAAAAAATCAATAAAAACATTTTAGAAAAAGAAAAGACATTGGGCCAGGTGCTCAGTGTTTTGAGCATTGGCCTGTGGACCAAAGGGTCATGGGTTCGATTCCTGGTCAAGGGCACATAGCTTGGTTGCAGGTTCGATCCCCGGCCCCGGTCAAGGCGTGTGTGGGAGGCAACTAATCAATGGGTTTCTCTCACATGTTTCTTTCTCTCCCCCTTCCACTCTCTCTAAAAAACAAAACAAAACAAAAAACAATGGAAAATACCCTCAGATGAGGATTAAAAAGAAGACATTGGGTGTGTATCATGAGATATTAAGTTGTGTTGGTGTTTGGCAGGAACCCTGGAGCCCAGAACATTTTGTCACTGATGGGCAAGGATGTGTAGGTGTTGCACACTAATTTCAGTAGCCTGACTTACTCAACCAGGAAGATTTCCCTGCTCTGATAGTACCTGCTGGAGTTGCTCTGAAGCAGACACTGTGGTCTGGTGGAACATAATCCATATGGCTTTTTGAATGAGCACAAATCAAGTAGTACCTATAAGTAATATCTATATAATAAAAGCCTAAGCGACCCTTACAGTGGAACGACCAGAACGACTGGTCACTACGATGTGCACTGACCACCAGGGGGCAGACGCTCAATGCAGGAGCTACCCCCTGGTGATCAGTGCGCTCCGGAGCGCCACTCAGCCAGAAGCTGGGCATTAAAAAGAGAGGAAGGGAGAGAGAGAGAGAAATGTCAATGATGAGAGAATCATTGATTGGCTGCCTCCTGCATGCCCCACACCGGGGATCTAACCCACAACCTGATTTTAGACCAAAAAAAGGTGGTGTGTGTGTGTGTGTGTGTGTGTGTGTGTGTAGGGGGGAGAGATAAATTGTATGTTCAACACTACCTGAACTTGAAAGTAGTGTTTGTTTAACCAGAGGATGAACAGAAATGATCAGAATATTAAATCCAAAGAGCAGCTTTCGTGTACTTCACCATTTCCTGGTATGGACAGTTCTGTGACAGGTCATCCTTCATTTATCTTTTTCACCAATACAACTTACCATATTTCATATTTAACTATCTAGGTACATATTTGGGTCGATTTTCCAAGTAATTATGCCTCAGTACAGGTTTTAATGTTACTAGAAGCATAAAGTAACTTGTGTTTTAAAATAAAATTTGACTTTCGTGCACGGGTACTGATTTTACCGCAAGAGGGCACTGTGGTGCCACGAAAAGCAAACAGGTAGTTTTTCCCCTCCTCCTCATGGTTTGGTTATGAAATACAGTCAATGTAGAGAAATCCATTCTGATTTGGAATATTTTGTTAGAAGTGTTTATTGACATAAAGTTCTCAGAAAATGGTAGACGACTAATTCATTCTGTGACTTAATCCAGCCTGTGTGTGTGTGTGTGTGTGTGTGTGTGTGTGTGTGTGTGTGTAGAACCCAAACACCTTTCAGATGACTTGTGCCAACCAGTGACAAAATTTCCACTTGCCAAAGGTAAAATGAAATAAGTAAAGATACATGTCCACATGTCTATCTCTGGGTGTGCATACATATATAAATAAGCACGTATTCAGCCAATAGTTACTGAGCACGAACTAGGAACCAGGCCTTGTTTTAGGTCCTGGGAACATGCTGCTGAGCAGTAAGAAGGCACAGTGGCTAGTGGCTCCTGCCTTGGACAGTGCAGGTCACATCGGAGTCATGAGCCCCATAACTTGAGTTTCCAATATGCCGCATGTCCTTTGGCGTCATTTGTTCCTCTAACTCAGTGGTTCTCAACCTTCTGGCCCTTTAAATACAGTTCCTCATGTTGTGACCCAACCATAAAATTATTTTCGTTGCTACTTCATAACTGTCATGTTGCTACTGTTATGAATCGTAATGTAAATATCTGATATGCAGGATGGTCTTAGGCGACCCCTGTGAAAGGGTCGTTCGACCGCCAAAGGGGTCGCAACCCACAGGTTGAGAACCGCTGCTCTAACTGGAAGAGCCAGCCCAGCTCCTATTCACTTTGCTCTCCAGGTTTAATTTCCCCATGAGTCTGACACGAGGAGAGGAGAGGGTTGCTTTCTGAATCACTGCAGATGTGCCTCGGACAGCTGCACAGACAGCTTTCTTTCTCTCTGATCACAGAAGACAACTGCACGTACTCTGTGCCTTTGTGTATATGAGGGTGAACGGGGTGCGATACCGAAAGACCCAAAGCTGTTTCTGATGGAAAATATTGACTCAGCGGGACTGAAAACACAGCTGTGCGGTTCTGACGGGAGCGTCATTTCTGCTGTCAGTCAGTGCTCACTGAGAGCGCGTTGTGCGGGGCGTTTGCTGGGCCAGGCTCTGAGGGAGGCAGCAAGGAGACGCTCAGCACAGGATCTTGAACCTTAGTTGTCTCTGTTGACTGGTAGGAATTTAGGAGGTTCATAAAATAATGAACAGTTCCGGTCTCTGACAAGAAGCCTAGCGACGTACCGGGCCCTGGGAAAGGCAGGCTGTGTACAGAAGGGTGGCACCTTTTCATCAGTGATAGGTCGGCAGGGATCTTACCTCTTCCTCCAGGCCAGTGGCGCCGCTGGGCATTGCAGGACAAGCGGCCAAGGGGGGAGGGAGTGTAGCCAGTGCTCTAGCTTCTCCCCTTTCGCTGCTCTTTGCTCTCGGGGTGTCTCTCACCCTTTGCATTCAGGCCCTCAAGCATCCAGGGGCCCTTCTTCCCTCCTCCACTCCCAGCCCCCCTCCCCCTAATCTGCTGGCAGCCTCCAACGGGCCTCCCTGTCCCCCTCCCTGCTCACCTTTCCTTCACCCTGTTGCTGATGGAAACAGGATTCTTTCACGGTATCGTGGGAAACGCATTTCAAGGATGCATGCATTGTGGCAGGAGGCGGTATTGTGGCAAAAGTTATGGGAGCGAAAACAAAGACTGTCCCCAGGTGCCCGCTGGCCTAGCTCCTTCTCATTGGAAAGGAGTGCAGCCTCTGAGCTGACGGCCCACACTTGTCCTCACCAATCCCAGGGGAAGGGCCAGGGCCCAGGGATGCTGTGCCATTACCCTAGTCTAGCGTAGTCTCTGTTCCCGGCTGCGCTGGCTTGTGTCTCACTTCCCCGTCCGCCCGGCTGCCACCCAGGCTGGATGGCGAGGATGAGCCAATGAATGAACAAACCCCAAGCCTTCGTTAAGCTTTGATTCTATCTCCTTGGGTTTGGGAAGGAGTAAGCTTTCTTTCAAACTACCCCCCAATCTCTTTCCTGGCACATCGAGGGCTTGTGCTGGGCCCATCCCCTGCATCATCTTAGCCTCTGCGCATGCCTCAGCAGAGGAATTTCCCCAGTAGCATTCCTTCCCCACCCCCCAAACCCCCAGGAATCCTCCCTCTTCAGGGGGGGACGGAGGGAGGCTAATCCCCTTGGCGGGCAATGCCGCTGTCCTATCCTCGGAGTGTCTGGGAGCTGTAGCTTCCTCGTCAATCAGGCTTAGGCGCCTTCTCTTTGGTTAATAACTAACTCGCTGCCCCCAACAACCCTGGCACCGCTGACAGGAATGCCAAGGCCCTGCTCACATCCCGAGGCCCCCGCTCCTCTTTTTCTCCCAGAAAAGGGTCCCTTTGTCCAAATTGGAATTTTTCCTTTATTTTTTGAAATTTTAATTTGCGTGTCTTTTCTAAAAGCAGAATACTGTTTAATATTCGTTTTTGCTTGGATCAGAGTCTCTTTGATGGGGGAACTGACCACGGGGTGATGGTTGTGAATGCACCCAGGGCTGGTCTGCTTTTCTCTCCTGCCTCCAGGAGCTGCCCCATCTGCCAGGTTTTAATCTGTGCTTGCTTTCTTTTTTTAAAAAAAATATATTTTTGCCAAAACCGGTTTGGCTCAGTGGATAGAGCGTCAGCCTGCGGACTGAAGGGTCCCGGGTTCGATTCCGGTCAAGGGCATGTACCTGGATTGCGGGCACATCCCCAGTGGGGGATGTGCAGGAGGCAGCTGATCAATGTTTCTCTCTCATCGATGTTTCTAACTATCTCTCTCCCTTCCTCTCTGTAAAAAATCAATAAAAATATATATATATTTAAAAATATATATATATATATATTTTTATTGATTTCAGAGAGGAAGGGAGAGAGATATTGATTGGCTGCCTCCTGCACGACCCCTGCTGGGGATTGAGCTTGCAACCCAGGCATGTGCCCTGACCGGGAATCAGACCATGACCTCCTGGTTCATAGGTCAATGCTCAACCACTGAGCCACGCCAGCTGGGCCTTTGTTTCTTCTTCTTCTTCTTCTTTTTTTTAAGAGGAAGGGATGGCTTCTTTTTAAAAAAAAAATATATATATATATTATTGATTTTTTACAGAAAGGAAGGGAGAGAGATAGAGTTAGAAACATTGATGAGAGAGAAACATCGATCAGCTGCCTC